ATGTGGCTGGAGTGTGTCAGCAGTTCCTGCAAGAGGAAGGCATTGATGCTATGGATTGGCCCGCCCGTTCCCCAGACCTGAATCCAATTGAGCACATCTGGGACATCATGTCTCGCTCCATCCACCAACGCCACGTTGCACCACAGACTGTCCAGGAGTTGGCGGATGCTTTAGTCCAGGTCTGGGAGGAGATCCCTCAGGAGACCATCCGCCACCTCATCAGGAGCATGCCCAGGCGTTGTAGGGAGGTCATACAGGCACGTGGAGGCCACACACACTACTGAGCCTCATTTTGACTTGTTTTAAGGACATTACATCAAAGTTGGATCAGCCTGTAGTGTGGTTTTCCACTTTAATTTTGAGTGTGACTCCAAATCCAGACCTCCATGGGTTGATAAATTTGATTTCCATTGATAATTTTTGTGTGATTTTGTTGTCAGCACATTCAACTATGTAAAGAAAAAAGTATTTAATACGATTAGTTCATTCATTCAGATCTAGGATGTGTTCTTTTAGTGTTCCCTTTATTTTTTTGAGCAGTATATATATATATATAGATATAGATATATATATATATATATATATATATATACATACAGTGGTGTGAAAAAGTGTTTGCCCCTTTCCTGATTTGTTATTTGTTTGCATGTTTGTCACACTTAAATGTTTCAGATCATCAAACAAATTTAAATATTAGTCAAAGATAACACAAGTAAACACAAAATGCAGTTTTGAAATGAAGGTTGTTATTATTAAGGGAAAACAAAATCCAAACCTACATGGCCCTGTGTGAAAAAGTGTTTCCCCCCCTGTTATAACACAACTCAACTCAACTGTGGTTTATCACATCTGAGTTCAATTACTCTAGCCACACCCAGGCCTGATTACTGCCTCACCTGTTCTCAATCAAGGAATCACTTAAATAGGACCTGCCTGACAAATTGAAGTAGACCAAAAGATCCTCACAAGCTAGACATCATGCCGAGATCCAAAGAAATTCAGGAACAAATGAGAAAGAAAGTAATTGAGATCCATCAGTCTGGGAAAGGTTATAAAGCCATTTCTAAAGCTTTGGGACTCCAGCGAACCACAGTGAGAGCCATTATCCACAAATGGCGAAAACATGGAACAGTGGTGAACCTTCCCAGGAGTGGCCGGCCGACCAAAATTACCCCAAGAGCGCAGTGACAACTCATCCAAGAGGTCACAAAAGACCCCTCAACAACATCCAAAGAGCTGCAGGCCTCACTTGCCTCAGTTAAGGTCAGTGTTCATGACTCCACCATAAGAAAGAGACTGGGCAAAAATGGCCTGCATGGCAGAGTTACATTTTACATTTACATTTTAGTCATTTAGCAGACGCTCTTATCCAGAGCGACTTACAGTTAGTGAATACATTTTTTTTTTTTTTTTTTTTTTTTTTTTTTTTTTTTTTTTTTATACTGGCCCCCCGTGGGAATCGAACCCACAACCCTGGCGTTGCAAACACCATGCTCTATCAACTGAGCTACATCCCTGCCGGCCATTCCCTCCCCTACCCTGGACAACGCTGGGCCAATTGTGCGCCGCCCATGAGTCTCCCGGTCGCGGCCGGCTGCGACAGAGCCTGGATTCGAACCAGGATCTCTAGTGGCACAGTTAGCACTGCGATGCAGTGCCTTAGACCACTGCGCCACTCAGGAGACTCAAGACGAAAACCACTGCTGAGCAGAAATAACATTAAGGCTTGTCTCACTTTTGCCAGAAAACATATTGATGATCCCCAAGACCTTTGGGAAAATACTCTGTGGACTGACGAGACAAAAGTTGAACTTTTTGGAAGGTGTGTGTGTCCCATTACATCTGGCGTAAAAGTAACACCGCATTTCAGAAAAAGAACATCATACCAACAGTAAAATATGGTGGTGGTAGTGTGATGGTCTGGGCCTGTTTTGCTGCTTCAGGACCTGGAAGACTTGCTGTGATAAATACAACCATGAATTCTGCTGTCTACCAAAAAATCCTGAAGGAGAATGTCCGGCCATCTGTTCGTGACCTCAAGCTGAAGCGAACTTGGGTTCTGCAGCAGGACAATGATCCAAAACACACCAGCAAGTCCACCTCTGAATGGCTGAAGAAAAACAAAATGAAGACTTTGGAGTGGCCTAGTCAAAGTCCTGACCTGAATCATATTGAGATGCTGTGGCTTGACCTTAAAAAGGCAGTTCATGCTCGAAAACCCTCCAATGTGACTGAATTACAACAATTCTGCAAAGATGAGTGGGCCAAAATTCCTCCACAGCGCTGTAAAAGACTCATTGCAAGTTATCGCAAACGCTTGATTGCAGTTGTTGCTGCTAAGGGTGGCCCAACCAGTTATTAGGTTGTAGGGGGCAATCACTTTTTCACACAGGGCCATGTGGGTTTGGATTTTGTTTTCCCTTAATAATAACAACCTTCATTTCAAAACTGCATTTTGTGTTTACTTGTGTTATCTTTGACTAATATTTAAATTTGTTTGATGATCTGAAACATTTAAGTGTGACAAACATGCAAACAAATAAGAAATCAGGAAGGGGGCAAACACTTTTTCACACCACTGTATAAATATATATAAATGAAAATTATTAAGATATAAAAGTTAAAATTCAACCAGAGAGCGCACTTAGGTCGTGGGAAAAGGCCGCGATTGACCGTTGCACTTGAATCGTTCCCACGGTGAATGGCTAGACCCGTTACGCTATGAAACCACACACTATTGCAGAAACGTTGATATTACCGGCCGCAATTGATATGGTGAAAACAATGTGTGGGGAGGCAGAGGCACAGAAACTCACATCAATACCTTTGTCAGATAACACTGAAACTAATAATTGATGCTATAGCTAGCAATCAAGAGGAAACTCTGACTGAACAACTCAAAAACTCCCCACCTTATGCTCTCCAAATGGACGTTAGCTGTGAGGGCCGAGATGCATTGAGTTTAGTTCTCTACATGTCGGGGGGATGCTATTCACGAGGACATCTTGTTCTGTCTCATGATTCCTGAGCATGTAACGGTATAGGAGATGTTCAGTGTGCTGCTTGGCTGTATTGACGAAAAACAGATTCCATGGGATTGAATGGTGGGCTTTTGCACAGATGGGGCTCCATCTATTAGGGGACGGCGGGCAGGCCTCTGCACTCTAGTTATGAATGGGTCTCCCTCTGCCATATGGACTCATTGTATGATACACCCACTGAGCTATAATGGATACACCGAGAGCAACTGGCGGCAAAAGAGCTGAGCGCAGAACTCGGAGATATACAGCAGCTGGTAACTTCGACTGTGAACTACATCAAACCACATCCACCGCGCGCAGGCCTGTTGGCAAAACTAGGTGGCGATATGGGATCAGAGCATGACAATGTTCTATTTCACTACGAGACTTGGTGGTTATCAAGGAGGAGTGTTGGAAAGATTTTTCACATTGAGAGAGGAACTTGTCATTCGCAATGGATGTAAAAAAACAGACTGTTGACTTTCTGTGTAATGAAAATAAAATGTGTCTCCTTGCCTATGTAACAAGCATATTTGGGAAACTGAACGCAAGCATGCAGGGGAAATACCAAAAACATCTACAGACGAGTGACCGAATCAGCTAAATCCGTTTGACTGTGATCCTGGCTCAGTTGACGTGCCGGTATGTGAAATCCAACAGCTGGTCGAGCTGTCATGTGACCGAATGCTGCAGACAACGCCTTCACGGGTCACTATGGAGGAGTTTTGGTTCCTGACTCAGAGGGAATATTGTGCCGTCTCCCTCCGAGCATTAAAACTCATGGTACGCTGATTCAGTGCTCTCGTCTGCATTAAAACCAAAATATTGATCCAGGTTGGATGTGACAGCAGAGATGAGGTGCGCGCTGTCGACCACGCCCCCTGACTTTGAGAAACTCCGACGTGACATGCATCAAAGCCACACCCATCTCATTAGTGGTGGTGAGATAAGACACATTATGTCACACTCATTTGACTGTCATGGCCCCACATTAAAAGTTACGGTGACGGTGAGTTGAGAAGATAATCAGAAATACTGTTGGAATGTTTTTCAATTGACTGCCATGGCCCCAAATAAAAAAGTTTACAATTGGCTGTTATATAAATAAATACAAATTCACATGGTTGGGGTCACGAGAATTTTCAGATCTCAAAATGGGGTCGTAGGCCAAAAAAGTTTGGGAAACTGCTCTAAGGGAACCTGGTGGACGATGGATGACAACAATGTTACGCTTGAGTGGACAAGTGACTGTGACATCATAGAATTCAAATGAGGAGATGGACAGGTGAGAGAGGGAGAAAATAGAAGATCTCCACTTAGGAGAAATGAGTAGCCCTGTGCCATCACCACGACGACCAGATGCTCTCGGACTATGAGAGAAAACACAGTCAGATGAAGAAAGAGCAGCTGGAGTAGCAGTGTTCTCTGGGGTTGATCCATGTCTCCGTCAGGGCAAAAAGGTCAAGGGACTGAAGGTTAGCATAGGCTGAGATGAACTCAGCGTTCTTGACCGCAGATCGGCAGTTCCAAACGCTGCCAGAGACCAGGAATTCCACATGGGTTGTGGGCGCAGGGTCCACTAAATTAGAAGGGTTGCAGCCAAGGGGTGGGGAGCGTCTGTAAAGCCTACAGGGAGAGGAGCAAACTGGTATAGAAAACACACACATAGTTGACAAAGCTACAAAAAATCATCTGAAAATCACTAGGTAAGATACTCAAGTGAGAGAATGGGGTGGAGCCTTCCTCTGTCCTTCCTCAAACAACTCGGCAGAACCGTTTGTTGTTTCGGCGATGGTCTTAGTTTTGCGACATGACCTCTGCTGACACGGATGCCACTGAGAAAACAGGGGAGACTGAAGTACTAATACTAATTGCTTTGCAAAAGTGAAGAGCACACCTTCCTGTACTAGTTTCCTAGGAGAGTAGAAACCACCCCCCCTCCAATACAGCCACTGATTACCAAAAAAAACAACAGTCCCAAATTGCCCCGCCCCTTAATCCTGGTTGATGTGTCAACAATCACCTGCAAGTTTAATAGCAGTCAGCAGTTCACACACCAAGTAGACCACTAGGAAGACAGGCAGCACTGAAAGTAGATGGGTCCTAGCTAGAAAAAAATAAACAGTAATAAACCACAACAGATAAAGATACTTATCACTCCTGGGGCAGTACTACATGCGTCATGATGCATGCCATTGAGTTGTTGATGGTGTATTAAAGATCCGCCTCCCTGCCCCTCCCCCCCCTCCCCCCCCCCCTCCCTGCTCCTCCCTCCCCCCCCTCCCTGCCCCTCCCTCCCTCTCCCAGCCATGTTCACGGTGATGTGTTACAACGTGCTGTGTGACAAGTACGCCACCCGTCAGCTCTACGGCTACTGCCCCTCCTGGGCCCTCAACTGGGAGTACAGGAAGAAGGGCATCATGGAGGAGATCACACACTGTGACGCCGACATCATCAGTCTACAGGTAGGGTCTGACATCATCAGTCTACAGGTAGGTCTGACATCATCGGTCTGACATCATCAGTCTACAGGTAGGGTCTGACATCATCAGTCTACAGGTAGGGTCTGACATCATCAGTCTACAGGTAGGGTCTGACATCATCGGTCTGACATCATCAGTCTACAGGTAGGGTCTGACATCATCAGTCTAAAGGAAGGGTCTGACATCATCAGTCTACAGGTAGGGTCTGACATCATCAGTCTACAGGTAGGGTCTGACATCATCAGTCTACAGGTAGGGTCTGACATCATCAGTCTACAGGTAGGGTCTGACATCATCAGTCTACAGGTAGGGTCTGACATCATCGGTCTGACATCATCAGTCTACAGGTAGGGTCTGACATCATCAGTCTAAAGGTAGGGTCTGACATCATCAGTCTACAGGTAGGGTCTGACATCATCAGTCTAAAGGTACTTTAGGGTCTTGCATGTCTAGAGGTAGTTAGGTTGGCCATGCATTGGAGATGTTGAATATTGTTGCGGAAAACAGAAGCTCCCGCATAACTGTACGTGCAAAGTATCACAAATGTATTTTCTGTGCCAAGTAGCCTATGCAAGATGAGAACCAACCCTTGTTCACACATTCTCTGTGAGGAACGTTAGCTCGTTGAATTATTCCATAAAATCTTAAATGCAAACTTTGTCCCAGAACCTAAATTCAATCGTCTTGGTCGTGTGTCCTTAGGAGGTGGAGACGGAGCAGTACTATGCTCTCTTTCTGGAGACACTGAAGGAGCGTGGCTATGACGGGTACTTCTGCCCAAAGTCTCGTGCCAAACTGGTCTCAGAACAGGAAAGGAAACACGTGGACGGGTGTGCCGTGTTCTTCAAAACCGAGAAGTGAGTGAATCAATCAATCAAATCTCTTTTATAACGGCCTTTTTTACATCAGCGGTTCTGTGCTTGATTGAGCTTTGCGTCTTGAACCCAGGTCTGGTTATGTTTCAGATTTACTCCGGTGCAGAAACACACTGTGGAGTTCAACCAGGTTGCCATGGCGAACTCTGAGGGTTCAGAGGTCATGTTGAACAGGGTCATGACCAAGGACAACATTGGGGTCGCCGTGCTGCTGGAGGTCAACAAGGACATGTTCTCTGGTGGTGAGGAACCTATCAATCAGTTAATCAGTCAGCCAGTCAGTCAGAGATGTTCTATCAGTCAGTCAGTCAGAGATGTTCTATCAGTCAGTCAGAGATGTTCTATCAGTCAGTCAGTCAGATGTTCTCTGGTGGTGAGGAACAGGGTTATTATAGTTTTGTGTTTTTATTTCTATTAATTTTAAGATTTTGATTTGAAATTCAGTTTAGTTTCAGTTAGTTTTCAGATCCACTAGTTTTTATTTAGTTTCAGTTAGTTTCAGTTTTATAATCTCGTTCCGAGAGAGATAATGAGAGAGTTGATGAGAGATGGCACGCTCACGTGTTTTGGAAAGAAAAGAAAGAAGGGATACATAGTTTGACGTCAGATGAGTCGTGTGTTGGTTTCTTAAGGAGGGGAGCGACTCGGGTCCATTTTTAAGTGGACGTGTGATGAGTTGATGAGGGAAGTGAGGAAAGGTCTGGAGAAGGGAGGAGGGGATGGGGTCTAGTGGGCAGGTTGTCGGGCGGCCAGACCTCACTAGTCGCAGGTTGTCATCTGGAGAGAGGGGAGAATCCTGAGGATAAACATTGTCCCTACATGTCAACTGCCTGAACTTTACAAAAATTATGTGATCAAAGATCAGCAGTCGACTGCAAGTTTCTGCAGTTGCTCTTCACCGACTTCATCCTGCAGCCATCGCCTGCATTGTGGGAGGCTCTATTGTCAACCAATCATTAGGGTGCTTCTGTTTGACCCACGCGAACGTGACCAACAACATGACTGAAACAGGAACCAATTTGGCGTGATTTATGTGTACAGTGGATGTCTACAAATAAATGTGATATTTGAGGCTCTCTCACTGATTAATTGTACAATGTGTACACCGATGGAGGCTCCTCAAAGGAGGAAGTGGAGGACCATCCTCCTCAGTGAATTAAATAAAAATAGTGAAACATTAAAAAAGTCATAATTTTTTAGATAAAACTATACTAAATATATTCACGTCACCAAATAATTGATTGAAAGACACTGTTTTACAATGAAGGTCTACAGTAGCCTCCAGCAGCACTCTGTAGGGTAGCGCCATGGTGTAGCCGGAGGACAGCTAGCTTCCGTCCTCCCTTGTGTACATTGACTTCGATATAAAACCTAGGAGGCTCATGGTTCTCACCCCCTTCCATAGACTTACACAGTAATTATGACAACTTCCGGAGGATGTCCTCCAACCTATCAGCGCTCTTGCAGCATGAACTGACATGTTGTCCACCGTATCAAAGGATCAGAGAATGAATCTAGTACATAAATCTAGTGCATAAAATGTGGTGAGTAGTTGACTCAAAGAGACAGAAAGACAATAGTTTAACAGTTTTTAACAAATTGATTTCTTCCATAATTGAGAGAGAGCGAGAGAGTTGTATATGTTTTTACTTTCACTTAGCTAACTAATGCAGCTAGCTAGTTTAGCCTGCTCAAACCCCCGGCTCAAACAGAGAGGGATGCTACAGTGCATTCGGAAAGTATTCAGACCCCTTCCCTTTTTCCACATTCTGTTACGTTACAGCCTTATTTTAAAATTGATTCAATTGCTTTTTTCCCCTCATCAATCTACACACAATACCCCATAATGACAAAGCAAAAACAGTTTTTTACAAATAAAAAACTGAAATGTAACATTTACATAAGTATTCAGACCCTTTACTCAGTACTTTCTTGAAGCGCCTTTGGCAGCGATTATAGCCTTGAGTCTTCTTAGGTATGACGCTACAAGCTTGGCACACCTGTATTTGGGGAGTTTCTCCCATTCTTCTCTGCAAATCCTCTCAAGCTCTGTCAGGTTTGATGCACAGCTATTTTCAGGTCTCTCCAGTGATGTTCAATCGGGTTCAAGTCCGGGCTCTGGTTGGGCCACTCAAGGACATTCAGAGACTTGTCCCAAAGCCACTCCTGCATTGTCTTGGCTGTGTGCTTAGGATCGTTATCCTGTTGGAAGGTGAACCTTCGCCCCAGTCTGAGGTCCTGAGCGCTCTGGAGCAGGTTTTCATCAAGGATCTCTCTGACTAGTCTGACTAGTCTCCCAGTCCCTGCCTCTGAAAAACATCCCCACAGCATTGATGCTGCCACCACCATGCTTCAACGTAGGGATGGTGCTAGGTTTCCTCCAGACATGACGTTTGGCATTCCGGCCAAAGAGTTCAATCTTTTAAGTCCTTTTAAGTGCCTTTTGGCAAACTCCCAGCGGGCTGTCATGTGCCTTTTACTGAGGAGTGGCTTCCGTCTGGCCACTCTACCATAAAGGCCTGATAGGTGGTGTGCAGCAGAGATGGTTGTCCTTCTGGAAGGTTCTCCCATCTCCACAGAGGAACTCTGCAGCTCGTCAGAGTGACCATCGGGTTCTCTTGGTCACCTCCCTGACCAAGGCCCTTCTCCCCCGATTGCTCACTTTGGCCTGCGGCTAGCTCTAGGAAGAGTCTTGGAGGTTCCAAACTTCTTCCATTTAAGAATGATGGAAGCCACTGTGTTCTTCGGGACCTTCAATGCTGCAGAAATATTTTGGTACCCTTCCCCAGATCAGTGCCTCGACACAATCCTGTCTCGGAGCTCTACGGACAATTCCTTCGACATCATGGCTTGGTTTTTGCTCTGACATGCACTGTCAACTGTGGGACCTTATATAGACAGGTGTGTGCCTTTCCAAATCATATCCAATCAATTTAATTTACCACAGGTGGATCAATGTTAACAGGATGCACCTGAGCTCAATGTCGAGTCTCATAGCAAAGGGTCTGAATACTTATGTAAATAAGGTATTTCTGTTTTTTATATGTTTAAGAAATTTGCAAACATTTCAAAAAACCTGTTTTCGCTTTGTCACTATGGGGTATTGTGTGTATTTTCTATTTATTTAATCGATTTTAGAATATGGCTGTAACGTAACAAAATGTGGATAAAGGATAGGGGTCTGAATACTTTCCGAATGCACTGTACGTATATGTATAGCTATGGAGAGAGGGATGCTATGCTTAGCTAGCTGGCTATGGCTACCCAACACTGGAACTCTTCCATGTCAAGGTAAGCTTTTGGTTTTATATATATTTTTTGCCACTGGGGCCATCAGTGTAACTGCTAAACTGCTTTCTGAACTGCATGATTGTAGCGGGTTTACTAACGCGTTAGTTCTAGTATGTTGTACTATGACGTGACAACAATGTAGCGGTTAGCGGTCGTGATATGAAGGTTTGGCTTGGAAAGGTTTTTTCGCCTGGTCACAGACAGCTGATGTGTTGTGCACTGAAGTCCACAAGTGAAGGGAAAAGGTGAGAGGAGGACAGAGAGCGTAGATGGTTGCGAGAAGGAATTCTATATACAATGAGCAAAGTGATCATGCTGTTTTTATGTGGCTGTTATGAAAGTGAACTGTGTTTTCGTGTGATCAGGGGTGTGTTCATTCCGCCGATTCTGTTGAAAAACTTTTCTTAAACAGAAGCAAACGGAGATAAACGTACCTGAATGTGTCCAATAGAAACTAATTTGCAACTGTTGGACTAATGGTTACTCCCTAGATCAGCTAGATGCAGGCAAGAGTGTGCAAGGCGGTATTGAATGTGTCACCTCAATTGATTACTTAAAATTATCCCGACCTGTGCACCTACGTTGTAAACTGTCATTCATAGGCTAGGTTGTGGCAACCTCATGATTGGTACAGGGGAAATGTGAGTATCATGTAGTAGCCTAAACCTATCGATGTTACATTGAACTGGGTGAATGGACTATGAATGTCAGTCATCCAATATGCTGTAATAGAAATAAGGCCATGCTCATAAAAAAATAAAAAAATAATCCTCCCTCATCTTAAACGGCACCGACCGCCACTGGTGTACACACATAATATCATATTATGCTTTCAGTTTGTGAGTGTGTGATATGGTGGTAAGATACATGCTTATTTCGACATTATAAAGAAACCCTTTTACAAACAACGCTGCCATGTTGATCTGAACCTTGCTGTTAGAAAGCCACATGAGTGTACGGCTGTCGCAGATGCACCTCCCCCAGGCTTCACTCCTTGACTTTCGTCTACAGTCGGTTTCTTTAGCCTGACCACTCAAACGCACCAAATATCTGCAATGCTGCTCGTGACAGTCTACCTTTTTTAAATGATAAAGTCAATAGCAATGTGACCCACCAGATTCAGAAGCTTGAACACCCCATCAGATTGTTATAGTTTTAGTTTTTCAAATGGATTTGTTAATTATTTAATTTCTGTTTACTAAATTGTTTTTTCGTGATTAGTTTGTTTCAGTTTACTATAGTAACTCTGGTGACATACAGACAACGGGTCGTGTTCGAGAGGATCAAAACTGTAATGTATCATTAGTAAATTGTGACTGACTGATCTACAAATAATAATGAGTAGTTATTTATGATGCAAGGTTATTTTGTAGATCAGTCAGTCAGCAGTCGCCTGCACTGTCGGCTGCAATGTCGAACAAGCCTATGTTCTCTGGTGGTGAGGAACCTGGCAGTCAATCAGACACGTTCTCTGGTGGTGAGGAACCTGGCAGTCAGTCAGTCAGATATGTTCTCTGGTGGTGAGGAACCTGGCAGTCAGTAAATCATTCAGTCATTCAACAATAATTATTTGTGAAGCGTTCTCTGCCTGTAGAGCTTCTGTAGCATTGGAGTCATTTTCCCAGGACTAAATTGAACAAGTAGATGGCATCCCTGCTCTTCAAAGTGCCAAGTTCGAAAATTATACTTGATACATTTTCAATCTGCTTGTGTCCATTGGATGACTACTCAGTCAGGTTTGGAGTCAGAATGTCTTCGCTAATTTCTAAATCAAGTGTCAATCCTGGACAATTTGTTGTTATTTCCCACACCATTGTTGGTGAAAAAAAACGCACTATATGTCTGCCTTTGTGCAACTCGTCCTAAAAAAGTTCAGATCAGTTAAACTTGATGTACAAAAAACAGAAAATGTTTCATTCATTTTCATTTATACATTTCTGTGTGGCCTCAGCCTAACTCCCACTCTGTTCCTCAGGCATGAAGCCACTGCAGGGGAAACAGCTGATTCTGGTGGCCAACGCCCACATGCACTGGGACCCGGAGTTCTGTGACGTCAAGCTGATCCAGACCATGATGTTCCTGTCTGAGTTAAAGAGCATCGCTGAAAGGGCCCTGAGCTCCATGGGAACAGGCTCCCTGACCTCTGACCCGGCCTCCATCCCGATCGTGCTCTGTGCTGACCTCAACTCCCTGCCCGACTCTGGTAAGAACCTAACCCCAACTCTTAACTCAGACCCAGCCTCTATCGCTATCGCGCTCTGTGCTGACCTCAAGTCCCTACCCGACAAACAAGAAAATGCTCACCCAGATGCGGCGCTCCTAGTGGCCGGGGATTTTAATGCAGGGTAACTGAAATCCGTTTGACCTCATTTCTCCTGTGCAACTGGAAGGGAAAAAACTCACCTCTACTCTACACACAGAGACGCATACAAAGCTCTCCCTCGCCCTCCATTTGGCAAATCTGACCATAACCTGGACATTGATTGTTGAACATGGCAGGTCCACAATCAAACTCTCAAACATACCCAAGCCCAACCCCTCTCTCCCACCCCGTCATGCTGTAATTAATCAAGAAGACGCCCAAGGAGAGACAAAGGGTTTAGCCTGAACTCTGTTCAACCCCGGCTTGTTCCCGGGATATGCCTAAGGAGAGCCACAGGGTCACAGTCTGGTTTCAGTCACTGATAACAACTGTAGAATCTGACCCGAACACAGGTCAGATGCCCATTTCACACACACACAAACCCAGTGAGAGGAACCAATTCAGTTCTTGCCTAGCAACAGAGATTTACCCATGTTTAACCCTGGCTCCGTGTTCGTCATTTTGTGATTAACTTTGTTTATCTTATAGTTTACTGAAAAATCCTCATCACTGATCGTGGACTACAGGAAATGGAGGGCCGAGCACGCCCCCATTCACATCGATGGGGCTGTAGTGGAGACGGTAGAGAGCTTCAAGGTCCTCGGTGTCCACATCACTAAGGACCTATCATGGTCCAAACACACCAAGACAGTCGTGAAGAGGGCACGACAACATCTCTTTCCCCTCAGGAGGCTGAAAATATTGGCATGGGCCCCTCAGATCCTCAATCAGTTCTACAGCTGCACCATCGAGAGCATCTTGACTGGCTGCATCCCCACTTTGTATGACAACTGCTCGGCATCCGACTGCAAGGCGCTACAGAGGGTAGTGTGTACGGCCCAGTACATCACTGGGGCAGAACTCCCTGCCATCCAGGACCTCTATACCAGGCGGTGTCAGAGGAAGGCCCTCTAAAATGGTAAAAGTCTCCAGCCACCTCTGCTACCGAACAGCAAGCGGTACCGTAGCGCCAATTCTGGGACCAAAAGGCTCCTGAACAGCTTCTGCCATAAGACTGCTAATCCTTTAATCAAATGGCAACCCAGATATTCTGCTTTTCACCCCTACCTACATGTACATAGTCAGTCAATCACCTAACCAAACCTACATGTACATAGTCAGTCAATCACCTAACCAAACCTACATGTACATATTACCTCAATCAATCACCCCAACTACCTCGTACCCCAGTACACTGACTCGGTACCGGTACTCGTTGTATATAGCCTGTATATAGCCTCATTATTGTTATTTGATTGTGTTACTATTTTCTTTTTATCTATTTGTTAATTTTCATATTTTTTAAACTGCATTGTTGGGAAAGGGCTCAAAAAGTAAGCATTTCACGGTAAAGTCAACACCTGTTGTATTCGGCGCATGTGACACATATTTTTGGGGGGGATTTCACCATGCCATAGAAGTAGAATAAGTAAACGGAAAAAGCCCCTCACAGAAGGAGTCGGATGGGGATTCCCATTCTTGTCATTTTATCTCTAGAGACCTGACGTGGCTCAGAACCACTGGGACCTTTTCTCTGTTGTCCTCGTGTGATTTTATTATGGATGACACAATCCACATGCTTTTGCTTTGTTTACACAAAGGTTTGACTCATGCTTGTCTAAGGAAGAAACAGCACTGTGTACACGCTGTGTCTGTGTGGAGTCTGGAGTCGCTAGGGCAACGGGCTCAGAGAAGATGGGGGAGGAGCCAGAGGGGACGAAAACAGAGAGGACGAAAACGCAAGGAAATCAAGCTGCAGACAACTCCTCCAATGGGCTTTGACTTCTCAAACACGGCAGGAAGCTAACACAATATGATGCCCTGTCACCTGATTAATTCAGCCACTTACTTAGATAACTATCAGGTTAAACCTAGGGGTCGCATTAACACAGAATTCTTCGTTTTTCACGCAGGGGTGTCTCAATGACTACACTGTATTAACTGTTTAATGCCCCCCCATCTCCACATACCCTGTATTGTTTCAATGCCCCCCCCCTCTCCACACCCTGTATTAAGTGTTTAAAATCAAATAAAATGTTATGTGCCGAATACAACACCTTACCGTGAAATGCTTACAAGCCCTTAACCAACAATGCAGTTCAAGAAAGAGTTAAGAAAAGATTTACTAAATAAACAAAAGTAAAAAGTAACACAATAAAATAACAATAACGAGGCTATATACAGGGGGTACCGGTACCGATTCAATGTGCGGGGGTACAGCTTAGTCGAGGTAATTTGTACATGTAGGTAGGGGTAAAGTGACTATGCATAGATAATAAACAGTGAGTAGCAGCAGTGTAAAAACAAATGGAGAGGGGGGGTCAATGTAAATAGTCTGGGTAGCCATTTGATTAATTGTTCAGCAGTCTTATGGCTTGGGGGAAGAAGCTGTTAAGGAGCCTTTTGGTCCTAGACTTGGCACTCCGGTACCGCTTGCCGTGCGGTAGCAGAGAAAACAGTCTATGACTTGGGTGACTGGAGTCTTTGACAATTTTTTGGGCGCTCCTCTGACACCACCTGGTATAGAGGTCTTGGATGGCAGGAAGCTTGGCCCCAGTGATGTACTGGGCCGTACGCACTACCCTCTGTAGCGCCTTACGGTCAGATGCCGAGCAGTTGCCATACCAGGCTGTGATGCAACCGGTCAGGATGCTCTCGATGGTGCAGCTGTATAACTCTTTGAGGATCTGGGGACCCATGCCAAATCTTTTCAGTCTCCTGAGGGGGAAAAGGTGTTGTCGTGCCCTCTTCAAGACTGTCTTGGTGTGTTTGGACCATGATAGTTTGTTGGTGACGTGGACACCAAGGAGCTTGAAACACTCGACCCGCTTCACTACTGCCCGTCGATGTTAATGGGGGCCTGTTCGGCCCACCTTTTCCTGTAATCCACGATGCCCTCCCCACCCTGTATTAACTGTTTCAATGCCCCCCCCCCCCTCTCCCTAGGAGTAGTGGAGTACCTGAGTAACGGTGGTGTAGCAGAGAACCATAAGGACTTCAGAGAGCTGCGCTACAACGAGGCTCTCACCAACTTCAGCTGCCAGGGAAAGAACAGCTCTTCTAGCGGCAGCATCACACACAGCTTCCAGCTGAAGAGCGCCTACCAAGGCAGCCTCATGTCTTACACCAACTACACCTACGACTTTAAGGTAGGCTACACGTCTGTATCCTACCCCTAACCCTACGAGGACAGCCTCTATATCCTACCACTGACCCTACGAGGACAGCCTCTATATCCTACCACTGAACCTACGAGGACAGCCTCTATATCCTACCACTGACCCTACGAGGACAGCCTCTATATCCTACCACTAACCCTACACCTATACGAGGACAGCCTCTATATCCTACCACTGACCCTACGAGGACAGGCTCTATATCCTACCACTGACCCTACGAGGACAGCCTCTATATCCTACCACTAACCCTACGAGGACAGCCTCTATATCCTACCACTAACCCTACACCTATACGAGGACAGCCTCTATATCCTACCACTGACCCTATGTGGACAGCCTCTATATCCTACCACTGACCCTACGAGGACAGTCTCTATATCCTACCACTGACCCTACGAGGACAGCATCAATATCCTACCACTAACCCTACGAGGACAGTCTCTATATCCTACCACTGACCCTACGAGGACATCCTCTATAGCCTACCACTGACCCGATGAGGACAGCCTCTATATCCTACCACTAACCCTACAAGGACAGTCTCTATATCCTACCACTGACCCTACGAGAACAGCCTCTATATCCTACCACTAACCCTACACCTATACGAGGACAGCCTCTATATCCTACCACTGACCCTATGTGGACAGCCTCTATATCCTACCACTGACCCTACGAGGACAGTCTCTATATCCTACCACTGACCCTACGAGGACAGCCGCTATATCCTACCACTGACCCTATCAGGACAGTCTCTATATCCTACCACTGACCCTATGAGGACAGCCTTTATATCCTACCACTAACCCTACGAGGACAGCCTATATATCCTACCACTAACCCTACGAGGACAGTCTCTATTTCCTACCACTGACCCCACGAGGACAGCCTCTATATCCTACCACTGACCCTACGAGGACAGCCTCTATATCCTACCACTGACCCTACCACTAACCCTACGAGGACAGCCTCTATATCCTACCACTGACCCTACGAGGACAGGCTCTATATCCTACCAATGACCCTACGAGGACAGGCTCTATATCCTACCAATGACCCTACGAGGACAGGCCCTATATCCTACCACTGACCCTATGAGGACAGTCTCTATATCCTACCACTGACCCTACGAGGACAGCCTCTATATCCTACCACTGACCCTACGAGGACAGTCTCTATATCCTACCACTGACCCTACGAGGACATCCTCTATATCCTACTACTGACCCTACGAGGACAGCCTCTATATCCTACCACTGACCTTGCCCCTAACCCTACACCTAACCCTACGAGGACAGCCTCTATATCCTACCACTGACCCTATGAGGACAGCCTCTATATCCTACCACTGACCCGATGAGGACAGCCTCTATATCCTACCACTGACCCTACGACGACAGCATCTATATCCTACCACTAACCCTACGAGGACAGTTTCTATATCCTACCACTGACCCTACGAGGACAGCCGCTATATCCTACCACTGACCCTATCAGGACATTCTCTATATCCTACCACTGACCCTATGAGGACAGCCTCTATATCCTACCACTGACCCTACAAGGACAGCCTCTATATCCTACCACTGACCCTATGAGGACAGCCTCTATATTCTACCACTGACCCTACAAGGACAGCCTCTATATCCTACCACTAACCCTACGAGGACAGTCTCTATATCCTACCATTGACCCTACGAGGACAGCCTCTATATCCTACCACTAATCCTACGAGGACAGGCTCTATATCCTACCACTGACCCTACGAGGACAGCCTCTATATCCTACCACTGACCCTACGAGGACATCCTCTATATCCTACCACTGACCCTATGAGGACAGTCTCTATATCCTACCACTGACCCTACCCCTAACCCTACACCTAACCCTACAAGGACATCCTCTATATCCTACCACTGACCCTACGAGGACATCCTCTATATCCTACCACTGACCCTACGAGGACAGTCTCTATATCCTACCACTAACCCTACGAGGACAGTCTCTATATCCTACCACTGACCCTACGAGGACAGCCTCTATATCCTACCACTAACCCTACGAGGACAATCTCTATATCCTACCACTAACCCTACGAGGACAGCCTCTATATCCTACCACTGACCCTACCACTAACCCTACGAGGACAGCCTCTATATCCTACCACTGACCCTACAAGGACAGCCTCTATATCCAACACTGACCTTACGAGGACAGCCTCTATATCCTACCACTGACCCTACGAGGACAGCCTCTATATCCTACCACTAACCCTACGAGGACAGACTCTATATCCTACCACTAACCCTACGAGGACAGCCTCTATATCCTACCACTGATCCTACCACTAACCCTACGAGAACAGTCTCTATGTCCTACCACTAACCCTACGAGGACAGCCTCTATATCCTACCACTGACCCTACGAGGACAGCCTCTATATCCTACCACTGACCCTACGAGGACAGCCTCTATATCCTATTACTAACCCTACGAGGACAGCCTCTATATCCTACCACTGACCCTACGAGGACAGCCTCTATATCCTACCACTAACCCTATGAGGACAGTCTATATATCCTACCACTAACCCTACGAGGACAGCCTCTATATCCTACCACTGACCCTACCACTAACCCTATGAGGACAGCCTCTATATCCTACCACTGACCCTACAAGGACAGCCTCTATATCCTACCACTGACCCTACGAGGACAGCCTCTATATCCTACCACTGACCCTACGAGGACAGCCTCTATATCCTACCACTAACCCTACGAGGACAGCCTCTATATCCTACCACTGACCCTACGAGGACGGCCTCTATATCCTACCACTAACCCTATGAGGACAGTCTCTATATCCTACCTTTCTCCCTCCTCTCTCTCTCTCTCCTTCTCTCTTCTCTCTCTATCCTTCTCTCGTCTCTCTCTCTCTCTCTCTCCTCCTCTCTCTCCATCCTTCTCCCTCTCTCTCTCCTTCTCCCTCTTCTCTCTCTCTCCACATCTCCCCATACTGTAGAGCAAAGTGTCAACATTACAGAGCATTCATGAGGCTAAAATATATTTTAGAATATTTGAACGTATAGCAACGCTAACAAGATCTTTCATTTCCCTCTTTCTTTCTTCCTTCCTCCCTCCGCAGGGCGTGATCGACTACATCTTCTTCTCCAAGACTCACATGTCTGTAGCCGGCCTGCTGGGCCCCCTGGAGACTCGGTGGTTAACGGACAACAACATCACCGGGTGTCCCCACCCCCACATCCCCTCTGACCACTTCTCTCTGCTCGCCCTGCTGGAGCTTCACCCGCCCGTCACCTCCTCTTCCTCCCTCAACGGCCTGCACCTGCCCCGTCCACAGGTAGTGGGGTTACAACCACTCACCTCTGACCCCTTTGAAGCCTGACCTTTGAACCCCTAATGCCCTTCCTCCTCCTCTGCCGCAATGGACCCTGTACATTTTCTCATCATGACCCTAATCACAAACCATCCAAGGAACTCCGATGCAGACAAGCCATTCCCCAAAGGAGTGAAGTATTCACCCCTCTCTGCTCCTATTTTTAACCTCTATTTTGCACACAGCATTTCTGTTAGTTTTGCTTGTTGTTTTTCGTCCACATGGGATTCATGTTTTGTGTTGTTTTCTGGTCATATGCTGCTGCTGCTGCTGCCCTTCTGCTTGGAAACTCCAAGTGTCTGTCAGAAATAGCACCCTATTCCCTATATAGTGCACTACTTTTGACCAGAGCCCAATGCAATATAGGAAATAGGTTTCCATTTGGGAGGAAGCCCCAAGTTCAGGTCACCTTGGTCTGGGTGGGCCTGGTCTGGGTGGTTCTGGTCTGGATGGGCCTGGTCTGGGTGGGCCTGGTCTGGGTGGGCCTGGTCTGGATGGGCCTGGTCTGGGTGGGCCTGGTCTGGTCTGGGTGGGCCTGGTCTGGGTGGGCCTGGTCTGGTCTGGGTGGGCCTGGTCTGGGTGGGCCTGGTCTGGGTGGGCCTGGTCTGGGTGGGCCTGGTCTGGGTGGGCCTGGTCTGGGTGGGCCTGGTCTGGATGGGCCTGGTCTGGGTGGGCTTGGTCTGGATGGGCCTGGTCTGGGTGGGCTTGGTCTGGATGGGCCTGGTCTGGATGGGCTTGGTCTGGATGGGCCTGGTCTGGGTGGGCCTGGTCTGGATGGGCCTGGTCTGGGTGGGCCTGGTCTGGATGGGCCTGGTCTGGGTGGGCCTGGTCTGGATGGGCCTGGTCTGGGTGGGCCTGGTCTGGATGGGCCTGGTCTGGATGGGCCTGGTCTGGGTGGGCCTGGTCTGGGTGGGCCTGGTCTGGATGGGCCTGGTCTGGGTGGGCCTGGTCTTGATGGGCCTGGTCTGGATGGGCCTGGTCTGGGTGGGCCTGGTCTGGGTGGGCCTGGTCTGGGTGGGCCTGGTCTTGATGGGCCTGGTCTGGATGGGCCTGGTCTGGGTGGGCCTGGTCTGGGTGGGCCTGGTCTTGATGGGCCTGGTCTGGGTGGGCCTGGTCTGGGTGGGCCTGGTCTGGATGGGCCTGGTCTGGGTGGGCCTGGTCTGGGTGGGCCTGGTCTGGGTGGGCCTGGTCTGGGTGGGCCTGGTCTGGATGGGCCTGGTCTGGGTGGGCCTGGTCTGGATGGGCCTGGTCTGGATGGGCCTGGTCTGGGTGGGCCTGGTCTGGATGGCCTGTCTGAGAGTAAGAAAAGCTCAACACTACATCAGTATATAATATAAAAGTATATATTTCAGAATGGAAATCAAAATGTGAAATGTTGTCATCTCCAGCATGTGTCTATGGAAGCCTATAAGGGTCAATCAGTGAACAGGATCCCAGCACTACTAACTCAAACACAGCTTCGGTATTAACTTACTTTGATCTCTCACCTTCTCATGCTGCTATGTAAGTTGACACTATGCATTGATTTTCCCTCACCTGTTTGAGTGGTGTGTGTGCCCCTGACCCAAAGAAAGTGATCCCATTTATTAAATTGCACCTTTAAAGACAGGTAGCTTAGTGGTTAAGAGCATTGTGCCAGTAACCGAAAGGTCGCTGGTTCTAATCCCCAAGCCGACTAGGTGAAAAATCTGTCTGTGCCCTTGAGCAAGGCACTTAACCCTTATTGCTCCTGTAAGTCGCTCTGGATAAGAGTGTCTGCTAAATGACTAAAATGTAAATGTTAAGACCACAAGTTACAGCAACAAAATGTCCCAGAAGTTATCCTTGAAATTATAAAAAATGTCCCAGAAGTTATCCTTGAAATTATAAAAAATTTACCAGAAATGTCTCTTACCAGAGTAAGTTTTAAACAGAAAGTCATCATTATATTTAGTCTTTAGCTTTTAAACTGCAGTGTTTTTAATTCCTTTTGAAGTCTTAATTAGCCCAACTTCCCTGAGGCTCATAGCCCCAAGAGTCCTCCATCAATCAATTTAAAGATTGATTGATTGATAGAAGAATCCACCCAGAACCAATCAGATTTGCTCGCCCATGTGTTGCAATATCTATTTATTAACATGAGAAATGATTGGTTTGTTTCCAGGCCAGATGCCATAATAAGGATGTAATGATGTCATAGACGATCAGTGAACTTATTCCCCAATGCAGAGCTGAATGTATTTTCTAAAGGCTCGTGACAACTTGCAGTGTTTTTTTTTTTTTACGTCTATGCTAAAGCTAGATAGCAATAGCTTCTAAACCACTGTAAACGTGTTTGTGTAAGTTATGTAAGAAAAAAATAGTTTACGGATGCATCCCAAATGGCAACCTGTTACCTAAATAGTGCATTAATTTTTACCGGGCCCCATAGGGCTTTGGTCAAAAGTAGTGCACTATGCAGGAGATAGGTAGTCATTTGGGACACATCCTAACTGAATGTGATATCCCCTTGCTGAGGTAGGATCCAGGGCTGCCTCTCCCATTCATCATCTAGACCTGTTCAAAGCCCTGGGTCCATTACAGTGACTTGGATCATGTACAGTGGGGTCCGAAATTATTGGCGCCCTGACTATATAAAATCAATAATTCAAATACTGAGCTATATTGTATGCTCAAAAAAATTTGGGAAATTATATTATTTTATACTAACACAATTGCTCATAGAAAGAGATTTTGGTGGTGGTCCTCTGTAGCTCAATTGGTAGAATCAATTGTTAGAGCACGGCGCTTGTAACGCCAGGGTAGTGGGTTCAATCCCCGGGACCACCCATACGTAAAAATGTATGCGCACATGACTGTAAGTCGCTTTGGATAAAAGCGTCTGCTAAATGGCATATTATTTATATTATTATTATTATTATTATTAGTTCTCATCTTTATCAAGGGTGTCAAATCATTTCGGACCTCACTGTATGTTACACATACAATAATGTTCATTATAGGCAAAGGCTATATATCTGACGGGGGTCACTGGTATGTTGTAGTGCCTAGTATTAGAAGGCCTCACTTTTTCTGTCAGAGTTTGGGCTAGCACCCTGCAACTAGGTAATGAATAAGTTATTACTGAGTAAATACCATTTTACCATGTCATTTATTAGGCAACACCTGGTCATTTCTGTAACTTCAAATTCATACAGAGTTGGAAAAGTGATCAAACCTTTTTTTCTCTGAGGTGTTTGACTGAAGCCATATACACTGAGTGTACAAAACATTAGGAACACCTTAATAATATTGAGTTGCATCCCCTTTTTGCCCTCAGAACAGCCTCAATGCGTCTGGGCATGGACTCTACAAGATGTCGAAAGCATTCCACAGGGATGCTGGCTCCTGTTGACTCCAATGCATCCCACAGTTGGCTGGATGTCCTTTGGGTGGTGGATCATTTTTGATTCACACGGAAAACTGTTGTGTGAAAAACCCTGCAGTGTTGCAGTTCTTGACACACTCAAACCGGTGCGCCTGGCACCTACTACCATACCCCATTTAAAGGCACTTAAATATTTTGTCTTGCCCATTCACCCTCTGAATGGCACACATACACAATCCATGTCTCAAGGCTTATAAATCCTTCTTCAACCTGTCTCCTCCCCTTCATCTACACTGATTGAAGTGGATTTAACAAGCGACATCAATAAGGGATCATAGACTGACCAGGTGAATCCAGGTGAAAGCTATGTCATGGAAAGAGTATATTTACTGAACTAAAATATAAACTAAAATATAAACACAACATGCAACAATTTCACAGATTTTACTGAATTACAGTTCATATACAGAAATCTGTCAATTTAAATAAATTAATTAGGCCCTAACCTATGGATTTCACATGACTGGGCAGGGGCGCAGCCGTGGGTGGGCCTGGGAGGGCATAGGACCACCCATTTGGCAGCCAGACCCACCCACTTGGGAGCCAGGCCCAGCCAATCTGAATGAGTTTTTCCCCACAAAAGGGCTTTATTACAGACAGAAATACTCCTCCGTGGTCTGCGGTTGTGAGGCTGGTTGGACGTAAAACAATGTTTTAAAAATGAACATTCAATTCTCTGGCAACAGCTCTGGTGGACATTCCTGCAGTCAGCATGCCAATTGCACGCTCCCTCAACTTGAGACATCTGTGGCATTGTGTTGTGTGACACAACTGCACATTTTAAAGTGGCCTTTTATTGTCCGCAGCACAAGGTGCACCTGTGTAATCATCATGCTGTTTAATCAGCTTCTTGATATGCCACACCTGTCAGGTGGATTGATTATCTTGGCAAAGGAGAAATGCTCACTAACAGGGATGTAAACACATTTGTGCACAACATTTGAGAGAAATAATATTTTTGTGCAAATGGGACATTTCTGGGATTTTTTGTATTTCAGCTCATGAAACATGGGACCAACACTTTACATGTTGCGTTTATATTCATGTTCAGTGTATATGGGGATAAGGGTTGCAAAATTCTGGTAACTTTCTCAGAATTCCAAGGGAATAACCAGGACATCTGGAATCCTTCAACCAGGATTTCTGGAAAACCTGGGAATTTTTTGAAAGTTATCAGAATTTTGCAACCCTAATCCCCATAACCATACATTCAGTATATGGCTTCATTCAAACACCTCAGGGAACAAACGCTCAACTTTACAGCTTCCAACTCTGTATGACTTCAAAGTTACAGAAATTACCAGGTATTGCCCTAATGTGGATACACTAAAACCATGGTAACGCTGTACTGTGTGTGTGTGTATTTTGAAGCTTTTGTCCACATAACATAACATGCCTTGGCAACGTTGTCTTTGCTTTATTTGCCCATGATCAAACTGACATCAAACTATGCCTCCGATTTTTCAATGACTTCTGTGAAACCAGCTTGCTTGCCTGAGAGAGTGAGGGAGAATTTCTGGGCCCATACTTCACTCCTCAGATTTTCATTTTGTGGATACGACTTCATTTATAGCAGTTCTATGTGAAGCCACATATTATCGTATTTGCTGTCTGATCACTATACCTGGTGATTGAGGGGGAAAGTAAAATGTTCCTAGCCTGGTCCTATATCTGTTCATGCTGTCTTGCCAATGTTCATTTTTGCCGTGGCAAAACAGATCTGGGACCAGGCTACCATTGTCCTACTAGGGTGGTGATTTTAGATGATGTCACCAGTCCAAAGTTTTGTCAATCTGATCTGTCAGTGTGCCACCTTTTTGTATGTGAAATACCCCCACCTCAACAAAGTATTGAGAGCAGTGTGAGAACCAATGTCTCCACCGAAACTACGGCCATTTTCTATTTCTGAATCAAATGCAGTCTA